AGACACACACACACAGAGACACACACACACACACACACACACACACACACAGACACACACACAGACACACACACACACATACACACACACAAACACACACACGGCTGCCGGGAATAAAAACACTTAAATGCAGAGAAACTCAAATCGAGTCCAGAAGACGAACCTCCGACCGGCTTCAGAGTCGCTGCTTTGACTCCCAGCAGAACTTCACCAACGTGGGCTCGACGTGACGCCTGAGCGACCCGTCTGCGAGCAAACGGTTAAATCATGATGAAATAAAAACCAGAAACAGCCACGAAACCAGCTGATGGACCCACAGGTCAGAGTTCTGTTGGTTCTGCGGGTGCTACATGAACAGACAGACTGAGGAGACGTCGGGTAACCAGAGGCTCTGAAGTTAAAAAAAATCAGGAAAACGGCAAAAAAGGTGCAAAGTTTCTGGTGTTCACAATAAAAACGCAGAAGTACAGTAAATAAATAGAAGTGATTTGCATGTGAAGAAGCTGTTTGCGGCACAGAAACGCTCATTTCAGTGAATAAAACCAAATGTAAACAGACTTTAATGTGAACATGAAGCTCTCTGACTGTGATGTGATGACGTCGTTGATTTAAGGTGTTTTTTTGTCTTTTTTATGGATTTTGTTTGTTGTACTGCTTATTTTCTTTCTTTTTTTGCTTTTAGTTTGATTAAAAAGCTTTAATTTTATATTTATTTCCAGTTTTATTGTCTCACACTGTAAAAAAAGAATCCAGAGAACCCATTAAAAACCCGTTCATAACGTTGCTAATTACACCAACTTAACATTGTGAGTAGCTTCAACTCAATTTTCTGCACAAGTTGATTTAAATCCAAGTTGTAAATTCATTAAATTGGTTTCACGACTTCATTTTCTCCACAATGAGTTCAGGATTTCAAGTCTCTTATTCAGTCATTTAAAACACCAGCGGATGCTAACGGAGGATTAGGACACGCTAATTCACTGAACTCATTATAGCTCGTTGGTTCAACATAATATCATTAAAAGTTCTCTGAACTCCAACAGATTGATGCAAACTGTAGTTTTAGTGTTTGTTTGTTGGGTCTGAACGTTCTGATTCAGAAAAACTTTTTAATTTGACGAGCTGAAATAATGATGTTGCATCAACTTGATTTGGACGTACGTTAAACTCAAATTTCTGCGTTTTAAGTGATTTAAAGCTAAATCTAGTTGATGTAACTGAATGAAATCGGCTTCATTCGTTGGTTTCTCTTCACCTTGAGTTCAGGATTTCAAAAGATCGAGACCGATGATTTCAAATATCTTTGATTTTAGAGTAAAAGCTAATTCACTGAACTCATTATAGCTCGTTGGTTCAACATAATTCCATGACAAGTTCTCTGAACTCAAAACAATTGATGCGAACTGTAGTTTTAGTGTTTCTTTGTTGAGTCTAAACGTTCTGATTCAGATAAACGTTTTAATTTACAAACACTATTTTGACGAGTTGACATAAAAATGCTGCATCAACTTCATTTTGTGCGTACGTTAAACCCACATTTCTGTGTTTTAGTTGATTTTAATCTAAATCTAGTTGAGGTAACTTAATGAAATCGGCTTCTTCACCTTGAGTTCAGGACTTCCAAAGGTCCAGACTGCTCATTTTCAATGTCTTTGATGTTAGAGTAAAAGCTAATTCACTGAACTCAGTATAGCTCGTTGGTTGAACATAATTTCGTTAGCGGTTGTCTGAACTCCAGCAGATTGATGCTAACTGTAGTTTGAGGCCAGACCTGGTTGTTTTTTAGAGTGTAACTGAGTCTGAGTCATGATTCCTGGAAACAAACTGGACATCTGACATTTAGCTTTTTATAAATGTCACCTTTCAGCAGCTGAAGCTCATCTGTTGTGTTTTAATGTCACCGCTTTGGCTGAAGGACACATGAAGCTAAACTGCCTTTGTGTCGTCTGGGTGAGCTGAATTCTGATTTAACCAAATATTCTGGTGTGTTTCTACCACATTGTTCCGACCCAGCTGTCTCTATATTTAGTTGAATCCATCTTTTGGTGCCAACGCGCAGCCTTTTTGCGCATTAAGACTCAGTTAAATGCGTGAAATGAGCTTTTCCTCCTTCACACAACCATTTTCTAAACCTGAGCTCCACCAGGACCGTGGGTTCCGTGGAAGCATCCTGCAGGCGGAGCGACGTGACCGAACCTGCTGCTATTTTTGTTGTCGCTCGCTCGTCTGAGGACGCGCAGCTGCTCCATAATTCATGAGCGCAGACATGAAGCGTCCCGCTGCGTGCGGCTGGAGCTGCTGACCTGCGGCTCCATGAATGAATAAAAAGTTTCCTCCTTAATGCGCAGCGCTGCGGTGCGCTGCGCGCCGAGCGGCTGCGTGTTTTGGGGACGTGACATCGGCGAGGGCCCGACGAGGCCACGGAGCCGGTCCACCGGAGAGATGCGCGCGTCTTAATGAAACGAGACCAAATAAATGAGATGTGTCGGACGTGTGGAGGCAGCAGCGCCCTCACAAATCACCACAACACTCAGGACGCATCGCCCAGATGCCGTTTTCCCTCCCAGGCATCAGCGCTCATCTCACCCCGACACCCGCAGCAGGAACCGGATCGTTTCTGCGGCCGGAGTCGGTCTCCACCGGAGCTCCGTGTGTTTATGTAACGACACGATCCGCTCCACAGGTTGGACACAAACAGCAGCAGCAGCGTCTTACCGTGAGCCGCCGCCGAGCTCTGCATCAGCAGCATCAGCACCGCGCCGACGGTCGCCATCCACCAGCGCGTCCTCTTCCCGGTCACCGCCATCCCCGCATCCACGGTCCGGCAGCCGTCCCCCCCTCTGACCCGGGGGCCGCCGCCGCCGGAGAGGAGCGCACGTTTGGGAGCCATTGGTCCACCGATTAATCCTGGACGGAGAACATGTAACGGCGCTGCTGCGCGGAAAGGCATCCGATCGACGCGCCCCCGGTGCGGACAGGCGCGTCCCCGCTCTCCATGAGCCTGCTGCGGCTCCGAGGGTCGACGGCGGCCGCTGGTTCCTGCTCGCGTCTCCGGTGGTGTTTGTGTGAAGCTCAGTCCGGTCCGACGTCCTACTGCGGCCGCGGCGCGCTCTCCATCCCGCTGCGTCAATGCGCAACTGCGAACCCGAGACACAGCCGGGCTGTCCTTCAAAATAAAAGCGCAGCCCGGAAGTGTGCTTTTTTTTTTTTTTTTAACCAGAGGAGTCTGTTGGGAAGCCTGCACTGTAAAACAAACAAACAGAAGTTGTTGTTACAGACATCAGACTGTACACACATATTAAACCTGAACTGGTTTCATAAAAGTCTGAGTTTTACGTTTTATTTGAAGCTCCTACATGAACGATTTAGTTTGTCTGTTTATCTCATTCAGTCCAGAAGCTACAGAGAGAATCTGACATTTTAAAGTTTTCTCGTCTGATTAAAGCAGCAGCTGGTTAACAAACACAAACAGAAGTCACCACCTGAGCGCCTTCCTTGCGGCGGCCATCTTGTTCTGGATGTCAAAGAGGAACCAGCCTCCAGAGCAGCTCTTTCATTGGTTCCCTGAGTAGGCTGGACCTCAAACATGATTGGATAACAGATGTGTCGTGATTGGCCGGTTTAAACTGGGAAGGCTGCCTGATATATGTAAACATTTGTTTAAGCAGCTTCCATTTGTCCTCCAGACGCCTCGCAAGACTTCCTGCGTCCCTCCTTGCTACACTTTTGTCCTGGACCCACTGGTTTTGAATTTATTAGTAAAAAATCACTGAGTTTACATCATTTCTGCATGTTGGCTACCAATTATTGTCAGAACAAGGGTTGCAAAGGCTTCCCACAAGCCTCAATCCTCAGGTTGATCGCATTTCTTCAGCATCTGATTGTAATGTGCATCTCTATGCTGATGATACCATATTATACCATAGTGTGGATCGTGTATATTTTGCTGTAAAAAGCTCTTCAGAACTGCGTTACTCATTTAAAAGTTGCACTCAACAGACAGAAATCAGTTTTCAGTGCAGACAAAACCAAATATTTAGTTTCCCGTGTTGATTAGTGATTATATGTTATTTTCCGGTGTCCCACAAGGCTCAGTCCTGGACCCTGTTCTGTTTTCTGCCCATAATAGTGTTTCCTCAGTATCTTATTATAATGTGCATCTTTATGCCGATGACACCACGCTGTACCGTAAAGTAAATTCTGCTGTAAAGTTTGTACTCAATAAGCGTAAATTAGTGCTAAATGGTTTTCACCAAAGCTAACAAATCTGCTGTTAAGGTACCATCAGCGTATTTTAGCTTAATGCTACAAGAATTCAACTTTTTTATAACAAGATCTTTTTTTTTTTTTGACCATTTATAACATTTTGTTATCAGTGTCAAAACACCAATAACATTGTCTTGACACTCTTCTTTACTGCTTACATGAGAGCCATATTGAAGCTCTTCTATTAGTTTGAACAAAACATACACATTGCTGTTATATGAAAGTATTGGAGGATTTTTGAGGGACATCTGTGATAAATTATGTTCACTGTCATCTACTACAGTTACATAACACCTAAACAGCATTAAAATGTTTTATTTCCAGTCAAAGATTCTAACTAGCTGCAATTTTAGCGAAATTAGCCCACCACTAGCTACACTGCTAGCTTGAATTTTTTGCTAAAGCATCCCTGTTGATCTGTGATTAAATATTCTTTTATGCCAGAAACTTAAACATAATGATAATAAAGCTACAACTATCGTCCTGAACTCACAAGTTTTGGGATAATTAGTGATAATCAAACCTTTTATATGATTGCTGATGTTAGCTAACATTGACGTGGCCATTAAAGTCTGAGCAGTGTCAAAAGTTGTTTATTGTGCATAAACAGCCAGTTAGAATTAATCAGAACAATGTAAAACCCTCCCTGGAGGGACGTCCTGCCCTGGTCGGGGTATTTTTCCTGAGTTATGGGGTAAAATGCTAATTTTCAACATTTCACATTAATTTATTTTTAATAACAAAGCTGTAAACAGTTCTGATTTAATTAAATGCTTCTACTGAAGAATACCTTTCAGAAGGATTTAATATTTAAAATAACACATTTAAATTAAATGAAATGAAATGAATGAAATGAAATGAAAAATACTTTATTCATCCCAGAAGGGAAATTCAATTTAAAGCAAACAGGCTGGTTTTAAGTCTTCGTGCTGTGAGTTTAATGGCCCTTTTTCTTTACGTCTTGCTCGCTAACAGCAGCTAGTTTTGTTTAGTGTCTGTAGCTGCAGGTATTCCAGGTAATTTTCCAGCATCACTGTTTAAATGTTTTCTTTCATTGGTGACACATTTGTTTGGTGTTTTCAGCTCCCAGCTTTTATTGTGAAGAAGCGGCTAACTCCCGGCGGGCTAACTGCCGCTAGCTTGCCGCAGCCTCTGCAGGTGGAAGCGGGCCGTCGGTTCGGTGTGGTTCCGGTTTGGATGTCCGGTCAGAGCGGTCACGGCAGATTCAACCTCCACATCCGAACTCACTGCGTCCAGGAGCTCCGGAGAGCGGGGCGGGCAGCGCCAGCAGCCCGCTCTGCTGCGTCCGAGGCCGGGCTGAGCTGAGCGGGCGGCCGGCGGCCTCTGCTGGAGCGGCCCGGTTCTGCTCCTCTGGCTCGGCTTATCAGGAGGATCTATGGCTTCCTGCATCTGTAAACACCGTGAGATGATCAGTCACCTGCACAGAGGACCTGCTCGCAGTTAAACACACCGTCTGCATGAATTAAATAAAACAAAGTAAAATATTAAATAAGATAAACTATAAAATAAAATAATCCTGAAGACGTTCTGGAGCCAGATGCTGCTCAGGAAAGAAAATTACATAACATGAGCATAAATGGTTTCCCTAACAGAAAAGTAATAAAATGTGACAATAAATTACTAAAAATTAAAGAGAAAAAGACAAAGAATGAGCTAAATAATTTATCTTAATCCAAAAAAAATAAATTAAAAATACTAGTGATGATTCTGAGGTAATAAATTAATATCACACATGATAATGAAATACTGAACATGGAATTAAAATACTGCACCAAAGTATAAAATATTACACATGAAACTGAAATATTGCAAAAGAAAAATAAAATATTACATTTATCAAACATTGAACATGAATTAAATACTGCATGATCAAATATTGCACATTAAATTGAAATATTGCACATGATAATAAAACACTGATGAGGATTTGAGGCTTGTGGCTCGTCTGCTCTTTTATATTTGCTTTATTCATAGAACTGGATGGATTGGAGGATATCATTAAAACACTGAGCACGAGATCTAAATACTGCAAATTATAGTGGACGTTCAAAACTATAAAAGATCCACATGTTTACACGATCAAACTATAAAACTAAACTTACCTCAGGCCAGTTGTTTTCCAGGAGGCGTTCCAGGTTTTCCAGGTTTCATTCATTCAGCTTGGGACGCTCCGGTGGAACTACCTGGATACTGAGAACATTAACTACACCTGGTGGACATTTTGTGTCTTCACTGGAGGAAACTCAGCAGATTTATTACTATTTTTAATCTACTTTAGAATATCTAATGCAGCAGAGTTTTACGGTTTAACAGAACTTACATGTGTTTTTCATCCATCAAAAACTGTTCAGAATGACGTGAAAGTCGCCCAAAATCACAGAGAGATCTAACCTAACCCAAACCCAAACCACTCACAGGTTGCTTTAAATAACCTGGAAACTCTCCAAATTAGAAGATTATTAACAAAAAGGCCACATGACTCCAAAAATGGTTCAAAAGTGACGTGAAAGTCGTCCAAAAATGACCCAAACTGATGCAAAAATCACTCAAATTCATCCAGTGTTCAGACGCAGAACTGATCTGGTGTCAGTTTTCTAACAGAACTCAAACATGTTTTCCATCAAATGACACGAATGTCGTGTAAAATTACACAAAAATGATCCCAAATGACTCAAATTATTCAGAAAGACATAAAAATTGTCCCAAATTACACAAAAACTGTTGAAACTGACTCAAAAGTGTTCTTAATGACCAAAGAATTGTTCAAAACTACTAAAAAAAAAAACAAAAGTCGTCCAAAATTATACAAAATCAACATAAAATACTCAATTCTGTCCAAAAATAACAAGATAGAGAAACCTGGAGTGATTCTGTTGTCAGAACTGACCCAATGTTTCCTCAATTTACTCAAAACATGCAAAAGGACCTAAAATTAGTCTATAAATGATTCAAAATGACACAAAATTATCCCAAATCATCCAAATTCCAATAATCTTCAGACTGAGACACCTGGATGGATGTAGAACTGATCTGGTGTCAGGTTCTAGCAGAACCCAGATGTGTTCTTCCTCCTAAATGTCATGTGTCTATCTGCTGTACTGATGAAGTTCTGAGGCTCAGAAATGATGGAAAAAGTCCATTAAAGTGATCAATCTGGACCCTCCTCTGTGGACTTCAAGGACCTGGACCTCTGGAACATTCACAGTCTGAAGGTAGAACTCTGGTCAGGAGATGAAGGTTCTGCAGATACAGAACCAAATGTTCTGAGGAGGAAAGAAGCCGGACAACTTTCTCATTTAAGAAGCTGGAATCAGAGAACTGAGACGACTGAGTTTTGCTTGTTGATGTTCTACAACCTTCTGAACACGTTGATGCACCAGAAGATCTAAAGCGCTGTTCCGGCTGAACAACCTTCTGGGTCTCAGGTTCCTGCAGCTTCGTCTCCTTCGTTCATTATAGGATTCAGTTCTATTGATCACTTTTAAATCACTACAAGTTGTGGCTTCGCTTCACGGACGATTGACCTCCAGCTCTGCACCTGAACGCCTCAGAACGGACCATCGACCGTCGTTAGAAGATCCAGGATTCGATTTAAATCCAGGTTGATTTGACATAAGAGGCTGATGTTATAGGACAGTTTCAAAATAAAAGCATTCAAACTCCCGACATCCTCATAAAACCACAGACCAGAGACGACAAACGGCGACTGAAGCTTGGGGTTTTTTTGTTTGTTTTTTTTAATTCAAAGTGAATCTTGACATAGTTACACCATCAATTCATAATTTGACACTCACCAATAAGAGTCACCAAGAAGGAACCCGCTTTGTGTGACGAAGGACATCAGGCTTGGTCACATTGAAACTCACTGAGAACTGGAGCAGAGGGGGAGGAGGCCGCCGGCATGCCGGCCGCCGGCCTCCCCGGCCTCCTCCTGTCGCCGCGTATTGCACAGTGCAGTTGCTACATGTCAAACTAGTGTAGCATTAAAAAGATGAAATCATAAAAACAAAACAAAGCCACACAGATGTACACATGCTCAGACCAGTAACAGTTCAGCGAATCCTACACGTCTGAGTCTAAACACAACAACCCCAGAACAAGAGAGATTAGTACAAAGTCTTAGGAGTCGGATTTCATGTGATTTAAAAAAAAAATTAAATTAAAAACAATTCAGCCCAGGACACGAATGAGATGCTGGAGCCATGATTTGGTAGTTTGTGACAAAGGCTGGAGGCCCAGTGACAGCGGAGCCGAGGAGTCCAGTTAAGTCGGGATTACTGCTGCCGCTCAAACGCAGAACTGGTTCTGGTTCTGGATGGCGTCTTTATGAACATCCTCGACCCGCTGTGTAAGGCTGCTGGGCTCCGCTTTAGCTCGTGGGTCCAGGAGAAGCGAACAACGAAGCGAGTTCAACAAAGTCAGGCTTTCTCGGAGTTAGCCGGATTAACAAAACCTGAGATGTCGGGTTATTAGTTTTGCTTGTTTTCTTAAACTCTGGAAACGTCACGTGACTTTTTCTGCACAAAACTGACCAATCATGAGCGCTGTGACGAAAACTAACTTCTTTTTTTTTTTAAAGCCAAAAATTAGCATCGTTCCCACAAGTCCAGGAGCGCTGGTAGAAACGCTGATCGTGTTTGGATGTATTTATTCTACTGATTATTTCTAACCTGCAGCTGCACATTTACGCCGTTAAACTTGGAATATCTTAACTTTTTTTTTTTAGCCTGAAACTGTCCCAGACGTGGAAATCACTTCAGTTATTGGCCAAATTAATGTTCTTAGTTCCCCCTTTTCCCTCATCGGTGTTCCATCAGCTGCACTAACAGCATTTCTAACTTACGGCTGCACATTTACGCCGTTAAACGTGAATTATTTTTACGTTTTCAGGCCAGAACTGTCCCATAATGAAGGACAGGTGGTGATCACTACAGTTTTGGCGTCATTAATCGAATGTTCTCGCCTTTTCTTCTGATCTGTGTGCGACAAAACGAACTCGGCAGCGAATCACAACCAAGTTTCACGGCGCATTTATTCTGCAGCTGATGCAGTTTTTCCCAATCGTGTTGCTTCTCACAGCCGATTTAAACCCAAAACTCTGAGCTGAATCTTCTCTAGAGCAGGTTTTAGCTGTGCAGAAATAATAAACTCTCATCGTGGGCTCGCTAACCTCGCTTCGTAGCTCGCCCCTCCGGATCCTTTCACATCTGAAACCAAACCCACGGGGGGAGGCTGCAGAACATCTGAGGTGGTTCTCCACCGACTCCACGTCCTCTCGTTTAGAAACAAACCAACACAGTAGCATGATTACACAAAACACACCCATCAAGCAAACAGAGCAAAACCATGATAATGTGGTACGACGAGCAGGTGGAGGCTTTGGACCGAAGCGCTGACTGGTGGGGATAAAGCGTGGCGACTGAAACTCATGATACCGGCCGCTAGAAACACACCCCGATCAGGACAAACAATCAGAACAACGAGCGACTCGACACCACGAGTACATTCACTGTGTGAGGATAAAGCTTGGTGTGGATCCAGGCCCGACGTCTGGAGTACTGCACGGTGACAGAACCTCCCCTGACGGTCTTTAGGATTCTGCCAAACAAACAAACAAACAGCTTTGGGGTTTTGATATCGATGCGAGACGTCACCACCTGTTTGGAGGAAGGCACTAGTCGTACAGTACGGAGAGTCCGCTAACGGGAAATAAGAATACACCAACAGCACAGCAGAGAGCGAACCCAGCCTACGTCTGAAATACTGATGCTAAAGAACCACGCACAAAAACACACACACCAAAAAAAAAAAAAGAGCAACGAAATAATAATAATAATAATAATAATAATGATAATAAAAAAAAGGGGGAAACTTCCATTACAGCAGTTTACAATCACTTCAAAAACAACAAAGCCAATATACAGAGGCACTATAGGAGGAGCGTCCAATCGGATCAGAACAACACCGTCTTCTGTCTACCATACAGGAGAGAGAGAGAGAGCGCAGGAGGCGAGCGCGAGATTAACCCTCTAGATTCACAGCGACCGAGTGGCGGATCATCAGTACATAGCAGCTTATCATCTATACATTCCAAATATCTGCTGTTTTTGTTTGTTTTTTTTTCTTTTTTTTGCCAAACACAGCTCAGAAAAATAAAACCTCAACCTCATCGTTTTAAAATCTCAAGAGAAACATCACCGACCGACGCTTCAGAAATGATTACCGAACAGTCTTTGGTTGCTGATTGGAGGAAAAGCGATAAAAAGCCGACACACAACACGGATTGAGGCGTCCACCCTGAAGGAATGTTTCATCAGAACCGACAGAAACAACAAAACAACACGCGTCGGATATTTCAAACTAATACTGGAGAGCCCAGCGGTGATACTGCGAGTCGATAGGTTAAACACTGACAAGCTTTAAAAACATACAAAGAATTACCTCCGTTTTATCTGAAAGTCGAAGCCACTCCCAAAAAAAAACAAAAAAAACAAGTCCATCTATTAATGCCAGTCTAGCCTAAATGCACGAATAATAATAATAATAATAATAATAATAATAAAACACAGCAACCCAGAGTCTATCTAGATTGTATTGCAGTTACAGTAAACAGTGACAATACTGTTATGAATTTAAGTACTATAGTGAATAGAAATCGATTATCAAAATATCTGATCACTCTGTATGTACATCACGAGCTCATTCAGTCAAAGCCCTGCAGCCTCTAGCTAAAGGAAATCCATACTGCCGAAAGCCAAACACAACCACAAGCCTCGCGTTAAGCCCGTCCAGTCCCAACGGTGAAGTGCTGCAAGCCCCGCCGACAAGTTTACAATCGATACAGTTCCTGAAGGAGACTCTGGTTTTCTTTTTAAGGCACTAAGGAGGCGGCAGTCTGCCCCGAACAAAGATCCTGGGATGGCTTTAGACAAACGGGTCCGAGCGGCTCGCTACAAGGCAACGGAGATAAAGGGATGGGAGGCCGAGCCGCCCCACGGCGTCCGGCCCCGGCTCGCCGAGACGACCCAGCGACAGGAGGCGACGCGCCCTCGATCAAAACTTCCTCATCGTGTCGTCGTGGAGAATTTCTTTGTCCTCAAAACAGCATCTTCCTCAATCCGTCTCCTTCCTCATCATCATCACAAGTTGTGCGCTCTGCCGGCAGCCCTCCCCGCCCACGTGCCGCCGCCCGTCCACTTCCCCACCAGGAGGAGCTGCTGCTGCTGCTGGGGCCGCCTCAGATATACGAGAACTGGGGGTGGTGGCTGAGCTTGGTGGGGCTCAGAGGGAAGCCGGTGTAGGCGGCGGGGGAGGCCATGAAGGGGTGAGGGGGCGGCGGCGGCGGGAATGGCGGCTTGAACTGGTGCGGGTGGTGGGCGTAGCCGGGCTGGTGGTGCGGGTGGATGGTGGGCGAGGGGAGGAGCCTGTGCGGGTGGTGGTGGTGGTGGTGCGGGGGGGGATGGGCGCCAAGGCCCAGCGTCACCTGGTGAACTATGGCGCCGCCCTGCGGGTGGGACAGACCGTAGCCGTGCTGCAGGAGCGGGGGAGGCGGCGGGCGCGAGGGCAGGATGGGGTGGGGGTGGTGGGCGGAGCCGAGCGGCCCGCTGGGCGGGTAGGACAGCAGGGTGTGGGGGGGCGCGGCCTGGCTGTGGGTGGGGCTGCTGTGGGGCAGGTGGGTGAAGGTGTGCACCGTGGGGGGGATGAAGGCGTGGGGGCGCAGAGGGCCGTAGTTGCCGTTCCACTCTTTGGTGGTGTGGTTGGAGACGTACGGCTGCACCTGGAACACAACGACAAGGTTCACCAGTCAGCACGTGTCCTTCACGTTCAAAGCTTCACATTAAACTCAGAACGTCAGTCAAGTGGGAAAGAAACACTGAGGAGAGGGCAGCTACAGAGCAAACTCATTCAGACTCTGATTTAAATTCAGCCCACGGTGGTTAAAAATGAGCATCTTTGGAGGAAAATAAGCTAAACTGATCTCAGATCAGTGTCTTGGGGCAACTTTAGCTCCACAGTAAGAACCAGCAGAGAGAAAACTACCAGTTCTGGTCCGGTACCGAATGAATGAAATGCATCCGTCTTTCCGTCCAAACATATAAATAAACAATTTCCCTGAAGTTTGCACCAAAGGGATCAATACAGTTCTATTCTAAATATAAAAACAGATGTTTACTTCTGTTGTGCTGAGACAAACTCTTCCTCCCATCTCATCCTGGAGCTTAAAGACAGAAACGCCTCCACAGCAGCTTTTCATTGGTGGGACTTCAAATACGACTGGACGACAGACGTGTCCTGATTGGTCGGTTTAAACTAGAACTTTGTTTTTTTAAACTGATCGGCATTTAATCGAAGCCTTTGTTTGCGTCTGTTGCTGTAAAGGGAAAATCTGCTAGTTTTGAACAATTGCCCCCAATTAGCTTCCTAAAAAGTTACGATTGGAAAAATGCTAACGATCGTACAAGAGCTGCATCAATTAATCAATCAGCTGTCAAGCATTTAAATCAATCGCCATCTGTCCTGATGATCGATCAGAATAAATATGAGTATTTTCTGGGTCTTTCCTCCTCTGTGACGCTGAACTGAACATCTATGGATAAAACACGACCTTTAAATCAATGCTGACTTTTTTTTTTTTCTTTTTTTTAACCATTTTCTGACAATCAATCAACTAATCAATGGTGTGTTTTGTAAATATTTTGTACAGTCAATTGCTTAAATCTTTTTTTTTTTTTTTCTTTTTTTTAACCATTTTCTGACAATCAATCAACTAATCAATGGTGTGTTTTGTAAATATTTTGTACAGTCAATTGCTTTTATTTATATTTTGGTTATATGTATATGGATGAACTTTTATCTTTTTTTTAAAACCTATTTTGTATTTAGTTTTATATTGTTTGGCATTTCTAGTGGAAAGCAAACAAATGATTTCATCTCACAGGGAAACATGCTGCCAGACGTACACGTGACAATAAACACTCTTAAATTAGTTGAGAGCACGAATGCTAACAATATTAGCATTTGGCTACTGACCTAAGTTCACTCCAGTCTCTGTGTAACCCATGATGGCAGATGAGTTTAAACCTCTAATCTAGCTAATTAAGAAACCCATCGTTTCTGAATCGACTAATTTTAAGTAGCTTTGTTGTTAAAATTGGGCCAAAACGTCCTTAAATGTGCTGCAGAGCCGAGTCGTCCTACAAACATCGTCCTACACCGACCTGTCCAAAGCCCAGAGGATGCTGCTGCTGCTGCCCCGCCGTCACCTTTTGCTGCCTGGACAGGTGAGGGCCGGATGGGAGGAGGGGGACGGAGGAGGGAGTGTTCTGCTGGCCGACGAGGCTGCAGCGCCCTTTGGACCGGGACCAGGACTCTGAGACTGGGACAGACGAGGGAAACAAAGGAGGTTAGTCAGGATAAAATACAGGTTCAGTCCTCAGACTTCAAACAAGAACACAGCAGACTGGAAATGAAATGTGGGCTTTACTTTACTTCAGGTTCAGCACTCAGGAATTCAACGATTTATTACTCCTAATCAAATTTTAACCTGATAATGACGCTGAGGAGTAAATGTTTGCAGATTTATCAGGTAGAATCTGACAGTTCAGAAGAGAAAGCTGCATTTTGAGTTGTGCATCAACAGAAAAGCAGCCAAAACTACACAACGTATCAGAAATCAAATCCAGTCTATCGTCACCTTGCTGTGCATCCACAGCAGTACAGGCAGGACGAGAGCGCGTTTCTACAGGATCCAGTAACTTAAACCAATTTAAATAAACAACTGTTTGCACATCTGGATCAGCAGTTACTTTTTACAGTTACAGAAAGTGTAAAAAAATCAACTATAACTTGACTAAATGACGTGCGCTTCGGTGGGAAAACTTGCGATTTTTCATCAAAAATCACTTTATTCTCCACGTCGCTTCCTAAAATTAAACAAAAACGACGTGTTTGCATTAATCAGATTCTGTATAAACTAAAAAAATCTGCACTTTCTGCCACATCTATAAAGTTAACAGTGACTCGGCTGAACTGTGTTTACAGAGCAGAGAGGAAACAAGCACGCTGATAAAATGCAAGTTGTAAAATACAGACAATGTGCAGATGTAAGCTTTGCAGTGCTTGTGAGATGTTTTTTTTTTTAATTTTGCAAAATAAATAATCCTTTTTTTCCTGTATGATTAATTTAGTCGTAACTGTGCAAAACATATTATTGTTCCGTTTCCATAAATAGGTGCAGGACTTTAAATTGTAGTTTAGCTCAGAGGTTGGAGGTTAAAAACTCATTTCAACCACATTTTATTGGAGAGTCCAGTGAAAAAAAAAAAGTGCTTCTTCACAAGAAATGTTCACGTGGATAAATTACAAGTTGGCATTTTATGATATTTTCTGCTGCAGTTGAAAGAATTTCACATTTAAGGAGTTGTGAATGGTCACATGAAGCTCAGCGTCAGAGCAGATGATAAAACCAGTGAAGTTGTGGAAAGAGCAGCAGATTGTTGGCACTCAGGAGAAGGGCAGCGACAGAGCAAAGCCAACCCAGAGACTCTGATTTAAATTCAGCCCACGGTGGTTAGAAATGAGCATCTTTGGAGGAAAATGAACTGATCTCAAATCAGTGTCTTGGGGCAACTTTAGCTCCACAACAAGAACCAGCAGAGAGAGAACAACGAGCTCTGGTCCGGTACCGCATGAAATGCATCCGTCTTTCCATCCAAGCACAGAACCCGTCGTTATTTTTGTTTCTGATGAGAACGTCCTGACTGACTGCAGCTTCAGAGACGTCGTGTTTGTAGGTTGGTGACTGACTGTAGAAGCTAAATAAAAACATTCGGTGCTCCTCTGATGGAGGGAAAGCCATAAACTGCCTCCTGTGGATGCATCTTTGCGGCACCGGACCAGCGAGCAGTCGGTTCTCTGCTGGTGTCTCCGGATCACCTGTTAAAGCCTCTATGGCCCACTAGGGGGCGGTAAACCCCTACTGCTTCCACATGACCTGCAAAGCGAGACACCACCACAGCACAGGTGACGGAGCACAGGACAGGTGGCACGATGAAGGCACATGTTAAACAGAACGTCTATGTGGGTATGAATGGAAGCACTGGACAGGAGCTAACGGCGTGGGAAAGCTGAGCAGCTCCACTGACCGGTTCTGTGGACCCGCTCCTCCGTGCCCTGAGTGTTGTTGTTCTGCACCCTCATCGGAGGAACCACCATGGTCCGGATGCCGCCGTGGCTCCTGCCCGGCCCGGCGGGGGAAGGCAGCGGCGCCACCACGGCGGCCAAAGGCGGGCGGTTGTTGTGGTTGCTGTTGTCGAGGTAACGGTAGGGGCGGCTGCCGCGCGGGGACGTCGACGTGTCCGACGTGGGCGAGCCTTCCACCGTGTCGCAGCCGCTCTCGTGGCCGTCGTCCTCGGACATGCTGGGAACAGAACCGGCACAGTGTCAACAAGAGAACCTCAGTGTGAGCCTTTATCAATCAGGTCCTCCCAGAACCTCCTCAGAACATCTGGTTCTGTATCTGCAGAACCTT